GAGGAACCATTGCTTGCATCATGGTTTCTGAAATGGCTCTGCTTTCCCCGGTTTGAGGTTTCCCGTTTACAGATATTGTCATTCCAGCCCTTGGTTGTCTTTTCTGGCTCTTACTGGTTGATACACTTCTAAGTCTCTGGTTAGGCTCTCTGATCTGAGTGCACAACTCTCTGCGTGCGCATGCATCCTGTCCCTGCCGTACAATCCAGCCTGGCACTGTGCTGGGCAGCTGAGCCTGCCCCTCGTGGCCTGGCCTGGGCCCCTTGGTTGCCCGGCAGTAATGGCCCTGACCCTCATGCTGCTATCCACAGCCTCCTCAGCTCCTCTGCTGCTGGCTGGGTGTGTGGCCCTTGGGCATCCTCACATCTCCTCGGTTAGATTGCAAACTGCGTGAAGGTGGTGACTTTGGTACGATTTTGAGTGTGACCAGGAATAGAGGCAGGGCTGGGTGGAGAAGGAGCATGGCCCTGGAATCCCGTGGCCCTGCCTCGGCTGTCTTAGGGCTGTGGCCGAGTCCCTTGCTGAAACCTGCTGAGTGTAGGAAGGAGATGAAGGTCTGATCTGGGAGCCTGTGCAGTTTTGTTGTGTTTCTTTTTCTTTGGTACAGGAATTGAACTCAGGACCTCACACTGCCAGGCATTTTCTTTGGCACTGAGCTCACTCCCCAGCCCTGTTGCTGGCTTCTCCTGTAGCACAGCTCGCGTGCGCAGTAGTGTCTTTGAGTACATACGGTGTAAGACTCCAGGACTTTCAAGTGTCATGACAGCTTTCCTGTGCTGCTGCCTGAGAGACAGCGTGTGTCTGGGGTGCAGTTGGACAGAGCATTGGGCTGTGGGGTCCTCCACGTGCCATACCTGCCACTCACAGTCCCTTCTGCAGCTCCAACATTTTCTTTGTAGGCCAGTGGAGGTTGAGTTATTCTCATTAACCCCCAGTTATCCCAATGATCTTCCCTCAACAAAACCTTGGTCCGTGTTGTGCTTAACAGTGTTAGGTAGCAGGTCAGAGCCACTTCTAGACGTGTGTAATTAGAGAACAGAATCAAGCTCGTGTCTGTGTGCTGTCCACTGGAAAGCCTGGAACAGACGTCCTTGTTCCTGAAAATGGTGGCCATGGTTTTGTTTTTTGCCCTGCAGGGTGGTTAAGAAGGTGGCTCAGTACATGGCTGATGTCTTGGAGGACAGCAGAGATAAAGTGCAGGAGAATCTGCTGGCCAATGGAGGTAAGCCGGGGCTCATGATCCGTCCTTAACGCCCACAGAGTGATTGGCTTGGCTGCCGAATCAAAGAAGGATGGGACGCAATCTGTGAATGAAGATGTTAAGTACAGTGGAAAGCCATGAAAATACAGCTGGTATTACTGAGTTGGGTGACATTGCCAGGTACGTCTTGTCCCGAGTCTGTCTCATGGAAGATACTCTTGGACACTGCAGCACAGTTTTGTGTTAGCAAACTCTGACATCTCCTGTTCATAGTCAGTTTCTCAGTTACATACCTCAGCATCTTTTGGGCTAGTGACTTCTCTGTTCTTCAGCTTTTTGCACTTAATAGCATCCAACTGGTAGAGCCCTGGAGCAGCAGCCGTTCATTATGGCACAGCAGTGCCTCTTCCCCTTAGACTTGAGCCTGCGGTTCCTGTACCCTTAAGCTAGGGGCTGTCATCTCTGTAGCCAGGGACTAGTCTCTACTTGGTTTGTTTTGTGATAATGGCTTCCAAAGAAAACTTGACCTCATGGTTATTGTTTTTACTTGGACTTGTTTTTTAAGGCATTTGCTTCATTTTAAATTAAATACCTCTTAAGTGATATGTCATTAAAATAACCCTTTGCATTCATCCTATGTAGTATTGCATGCAGGGATAAGATTAGTTTATTAAAATTCAGTGTTCTTCTACCGTAGAAAAGGGCCTGGAAAGAAAAAGGGGGGGGCGGGGGAGCTGGCTCAGTGGAATAAGTACTTCCCTGGCAAGCACAGGGGTCTGAGTTCAATCCCCAGTTCTGCTCCCCCAAAAATAAATAAATAAAATTCAGTGTTCTTCTAATCTCATTTCTTATCCTTAAAAATAATGTATGAGTGATAAAATATTTAATTGGTTAGTCATTCTTGATTTTTGTTATAATAATGATCTTGATATAATTGTTTAATGTTTCTGTTAGAGTAGAAGGTCGATGTGTTAATTTATGTCACCTTTACTGATGTAGGTGTTTCTTAGACTAGAGCCATCAGTTTGGTCGAGGAAGTGGAGGCGGTGATTTGCAGGTGGACAGTGTGAACTGCTTTTGGGACTTTGTGCTGTTGACACATTGGGATTGTGAAAGGAGAAACTGAGACACAGACATATTGATAGGAGTTCCTTCTGTCAGTTGGCTTGGTTGTGCTTGATGTTTGGGCTTCTGTCTGTGGTTCTTTTTTTATTATTTATTTATTTCTGGCTGTGGTTCTGTTGGAGTGGTGAAGTTTTGATTGTCCAACCTCCAGGGCTCTTGTAGCCAAGTGTCACTTTGGTTTTACTTTTCTTTCTTTTCTCCATTTGAAAAAGAAAGGGTCCACATTTTTTAAAAAATCATTAACTTTTATGTATTTGGTCCAGGGTCTCACTACACAGCTTGGAAATGTAGTGATCCTCCTGTTTCAGCCTCCCTAGTGTTGAGATTATGCCAAGTCTCTGGTCTTGGTGGCCAGCTCGGCACACCCAGGACAGGGCTGGCATACAGTACCAGGCATCGAACCTGCGTCCTTGTGCTTGCCTTGGCTGGTGCTTAGACCACTGAGCTAACTCCGTGGCCCAGGGTCTACATTTTGAAGATTGCATAACAGCAGGACAGTCACTACTGAGTGTTAATAGGAAGGTTCCTTTTTTGGTTTGAGGACATTGGTGAAGAAAAGGTTAACATCAAATCAAATTTATCACAGAGACAATTTCAAGTAGTCTGTCCAAATTATCCTGCATGTGCACATAAACAGATTTCTTTCCCTTCTTTTGTCCCTTTTCTTATCCCACTTTTCCTTCCCATTGAACAAGTTTCCTTTCATAGTATTGATTGTGCTTTTCAGATTTTATTACTCTTTCAGGTTCTCACACCAGTGAGATAATGCGATGGCTGCACATGTGGGTCTTGCTGTTAGCCATTCTTTTTGGCGTGAGATGGTATCTAAGTGTTGTTTTAATTTGCATCTCTTGAATGATTTATTTCACTTGCCAGTACAGCCTCTAGTTGTACTCATTTATCTACAAAACTAGAATTTATCTATTTTTTTTTTTAACTAGCTGAGTAATACTCCATTGTGTAAAAATACCACATCTTTTTTATCCATCTTTCAGTTGATGGGCATTGAGTTGTTTCCAAGATTTAGCTCTGACAAATTGTGCTGCTATAAACATGGATGGGCCTGGCAAGATAGCTCAGCGGATTAAACGCTTTCTTAGGCAAGCACAGGGACTACAGTTTGATCCCTGGCACCACAGTGCCTGAAGCTGGCCACAGAGTTCAGGTGCAGCGGTGCATATTTGTAATCCCAGTGCTGGAGAGACTGAAACCAGGAGGATCACTAGGAGTCTGAGCTGCGTAGTGAGACCTTGTAACAACCAAATAAATTAAACACGCACACGCGCGCGCGCACACACACACACAGGTGTACATATATTACTGTGGTATGATGATTTCAATTCTTTTGGAAAAATACCTAGGAGGGGTAGCTGGCTTGAATGGGACCTCCACTCCGAGTTTTTTGAAGAACCTCCATACTAATTTCCATAATGGTTGTACCAGCCTGCACTCTCACCAACTGTGGAGAAGGGTTCTTTTATCCCCACAGCCTCTCCAGCATTTATTATCGGTTGACTTCTTGGTGTTAGCCATTCTTTCTGGCGTGAGATGGTATCTGAGTGTTGTTTTAATTTGCATCTCTTGAATGACCACTGATGTTGAACATTTTTCATGTATTTATTTGCTATTGTACTGTATCTTTTCATGTGTGAAGTGTATGTTCTCAGATGCCCATTTTTGGAAGTGGGTCTTTGAACTTTTTAAATTTAATTTATTACTTTGGTACAGGGTCTCACTGCACAGCTCAGACTCGTAGTGATCCTCCTGTCTCATCCTCCCCAGTGCTGGGATTACAGTGTATGCTACCATGCCCAGTATGGAGTGCCCAGGAACCTGGGGCCAGCATGGCATGTGGGACCTGGGATCGAGCCCAGGACTTTGTACTTGCCAGCCAGTGCTTAGACTGCCAAGCTATTTCCTCAGCCCAATTTTTCACATTTATGTCTAGTAACCTAGACAACTAATTTGAAAATAATGTCACGCAATACAGCAACCATTGTTGAATTTCTTTTACTTTGTTTAGTGATCTTTTGTATTGCTTCTATTGATTTTTTTTTTTTAACTATTTCGTATTCTTTTAAAAAAAGTCTTTTTTTTTTTTTCTTCTTTAACAGGAACTGGGGATTGAACTCAGGCCCTTGCGCTTGCCAGGGAAGTGCTTATTCCACTGAGCCGTCTCTCTGGCCCTAAAAAAAAGTCTTTGTCCTTTTTCCTACATATAAAGTACCTCACAAATGTGTACATATTCTGTGCATTTTAATTTCATTAGGGGAACATCTTTCTATATTTGAGTCACTAGGAGAGATTACAAGGTACGCATTCTTGTCACTTAATATGGTTCCACATTTTTTTAATTGGGACTCTTCAGAAATGACATCTTTACTGATGTTAATTTGGCATTAAATAGATATAAAAATCCTATGACTTCTCCTCAGCAGTTAATTTATTCCCTTATTTCAGTTGACTTGGTTACTTACATAACGAGGTTCCAGTGGGATATGGCCAAGTATCCAATCAAGCAGTCCCTGAAAAATATTTCTGAAATAATTGCCAAGGTAAGAAAAACATCCAGACCGGTGGGCCATATGAATTTATTTATTTGTATTTTTTAGTTAGGGCCTGCAGGGTCTCACTAAGTAGATCGGCCTCCCAGAGAACCGGGAGGATAGGCATGCTGCCATGCCCAGTCTCAGTTGCTGTCTCTGCACCCCCGGGGCTAGGCCAGCACTGCCTGGCCTGGCAGACCCGGCGCGCCAGGGGTTGTGTCTGCCTAAGCAGGCGCTTTAGTCCGCTGAGCTATTGGGCCAGCCCTAAGAGTTGAGTTTTTTTTTTTTTTTTTTTGGCTGGCTCAGGCTGCCTTAAGCAAGGGTCTGGTACAGCATGTGGAGCTGGGCATCAAACTGCAGTCCCCTGTGCCTGACTTGGTTTGCCCAAGCAGGTGCTTAAACAACTGAGCTAACCCGCAAGCCCTTTCACATGAATTTAGAGTGACTTTGTTTTATGACTTAGCTAGGGAATATAAGCAGGAAGTAACCCCTCCTAACCTACCTTTAGGTGTATTGCAGTGTGTTTGATGTTGTAGGTGATGTAGGCATTACAAAGTAGTGTAACATTTTCATGTGTGGATTATCTGAGTTGTGTAGTATGCATTTACTTGGCTAACAAATACTGTATCAATATTTCAATAAGAAACTTAAAAAAAAAAAGACATTGCTTTAGGGGCTGGGGAGATAGGTCAGTAGAATAAGCGCTTGCCCCCAGTTCTGCAAAAAATAAATAAATAAAAATTTCAGTAATTATTATTTACACAAACATTCGGCCCACCTTAGGTCAGGTACAATGGGAAAGTGGAATCTAGGAAAGATAGGAGCTGCCCACATCAGTGGTCACAGTCTCTCAGGCACAAAGGTGTACTTACTTGTGCAAACATTAACCTTCGTGGTTTCTGACCTCGTGATTATTTGCCACTGTCCCTGTGCCCTGAGATCATGTGATTTTAGGTGCAGGGGCCTCAGAGCCCATTCATGCACGCACCCAGCTAAGAGCCCGCCTTACTTACATCAGTTACTTGGGGTTTTTTTGAGACAGGGTCGTACTTGATAGATTTTACCAAAAGGCCTTACATGGTGGTATACACCTGTGGTTCCAGCACTCTGAGAGCCCGAGGCAAGAGGATCAGAAGTTCGAGCCCATCCTGCACAATTTAATGACTTATCAAGACCCTGCCTTGAAATAAGAACTAAGAAAATGGGCTGGGGATGTAGCTCAGTGAGAAGATCCTGGGTTCGGCTCCCATACCACAAGAAAAACATCTTCAAGCTTGGGCGAAAGTATAAAGTCTTTAACCAATTACGATGATGCACATAGACAGGACTTCTTGAATGTCCGCTGGTGAGCCCATGAGCTAGTTGCGGGCAGGTGCTTTAAGTTACTGGACAGATTTTCTTCATTTCTAGTGACATTATTTAAATGGAAATGAGTTGCTAGTAAAGATTTTAACCGAAGTAACTGCAGAATTTTTTTCTTTTGTTTCTGAGACAGGGTCTTACTATGTGGTCTAGGCTTTGAACTCACCGTGTAGCTCGGCAGGGATCCTTGTGCCTTAGCTTCCGAGTGCTGGGCTTACACATGGGCGCCAACACTCCTGGCCTTTCGTCATGTAATTTAGGGACAGTGAGAGCTGTGTAGTGGTGCTCGTGCTGCTCCTGAACCTTGTTTTCTTTGGGTCCTTGACCAGCATTCAGTCTTCTTTGTCTTGCATGGTGGTGGAGGAGGAGCCAGCTGGGGTGAAGCCATGGGCCTGTGACCTGGTGCCACGGGAGAGGAGGGTGCCAGCCGGGTCTCCAGATGTGCGCTAAACCAACTGTGCTTTTCTCTCTAAGTAGTTTGTAGTTGTAGTTCTCTTTTGAAAAGAGGTTAGCTTTTGTAACACAAATTTAATGATTTTAATTTTTGAGAAAGTGTTTTGTGTAGTAGTAGTGGAATTTACATTATCAGACCCAGTGGCCTACAGCCCACTGACATGATTTTTAGGGTAAAATAGTAGTGACATTGCAGGCCTGTGGTGCTGGCTATGGAGAAACCCAGACGGGGTTGCTTTGGATCATGGGGGACACCCTGTGTCCCACAGTCCCCCAAAAGAAGTATTATGTAGTAATGACAATGAAAATACCTGTAGACTAAAACATTAATAGAAAATGCTTATGTGGAAATTGGCCTGTTGGTATTGTTTGTAGATATTAGAGTTCAGCTACTTTTAATTATTTTAGTGGAGGCTGATTGTGGAAAATGTTACATGTTTTTATCCATTTTCTATTTTGAAGGGAGTCACACAGATTGATAATGATTTGAAATCCCGCGCGTCTGCATACAACAACCTGAAGGGGAATCTTCAGAACCTGGAGCGAAAGAACGCGTAAGGGCCAGGGTATTTGCGAGCGCTGAGCTGGGTTGTGGGCTGGCCCTGAGCGAGGTTCAGGCCTCGTGCCTCCCAGCTTGAGCCACTCCTGGAGTAACAGTGGTATTGTTTTTAGTTTGCTGGAGAAAGCTCTAATGTAAGTCTACAGAATTCAGATAAAAGCAGGAAAGGCTGATTTCTTTCTTAAATAACATTTGTGAACCAAGTTACGATTTATCTTCTATTCATTTGGGATATTTCACTAAATATGTTTCTGAGGTGGATCGTTCCAGGCCAGGACCTCGGGTCATTGCCGAGCAGCCACCTGCTCTTAGCATCTCCAGGACTGCCCCCGGAGCGTGAGCACAGCCTTAACTGGAGGTTTGCCCACGTGGCCCAGAGGAAGGGGCTCGGGGGCTGTCAGCACTGGATGGGTCAGGGCGTTCCTGCCTTGGGCATGACCCTCTTGGACGACCAAAGGCTGGTGGGAAAGAGCTGATGAGTGCCTGGGTGCCCCAAGCTGCTGGCCTCAGCTGATGCTGGAGGCTGTGGGAAACCAAAGGCGCTGCTTAGAGGGTGTGGCTCCGCACTGAGGCCCACGTCCACTCAGTTGGTGTCTGATGAGTGGCCATTCTCAGTCAGGCTCCATTGGCGAGGAAGGCTGGGTCAGCGTAATCCCAGCAGGCTTCGAAGGGGGTGCAGATGTTGGGGGGGCGGGGCTTGGGCAGCTGAAGTGTGAATGCTCGGGTCTCTCTCTCAAGATGTGTTTTTAGGGTGTTTTGAGATGACTGGTCGCTTGTTCCGTGTGTGACAAAATCACGCATTTCTCTGAATGGTCTCCTTACTCCTCAGAGGAAGTTTGCTGACTCGAAGTCTGGCGGAGATTGTGAAGAAGGATGACTTCGTTCTGGACTCCGAATACCTTGTCACCTTGCTGGTGGTTGTTCCTAAGTATGTATCTCCTGATGAAAGTCCCAGTAGTGTTAGTCCCTGGTATTGCAGCTTGAAGTTTAAAAACAAACAAAAACCGCAAAAGGAACAT